GTTTTGGAGGTGCGTTGTGAGACAATGGAGGTAAACAATTCACCGCTACATTACGAACATGTCTGAAAACATGTTTTAGAAAAAGAATTACATGCATATCTGTGTGTACTCATGTGTTCCTTAGTTTGTTTGTCCAGACTGAACCACACGTCAACTTTAATATAAAGTGACTAGTTTGTCCTCTTTACGTCTCTCTCTCTCTCTCTCTCTCTCTCTCTCTCTCTCTCTCTCTCTCTCTCTCTCTCTCTCTCTCTCTCTCGCTCTTCCTCCCTGTAACAGCTTCTGACATTCAATTACACAAACCACCTCAGATTCTGCTGGCTTGCCTTAAGAGTGTGATCGAGCTATCCTGAGGGTGCGTGTGCACGTGTTTATCCAGTATCGACCCATTCCTCCAGCTGCTGTAAATAAACTAAAAGCCCGGCTGTTTAATAATACAACAGCCATATCTTCATGGTCCATTGCTACCTCAGTGGCTTCTCTTCATCTCCTATTCGTCTAATCTGACCAACCCCCCGGTCTCCTTTCATCTTTTGCTTTAGATTCTCACTGTAGACCTTCTCTCCATCGTTATCTGGTATCATTAATAAATCAACAAGGATGAATACATTTTCCTCGGACTCCCCAGTGCCGAGCACCAGGTAGGTATTCCCCATGTCGGTATTTCCCATGTCTATAGTGATCTGAGAGTGTGTGTGTTTTTGTTGGTGAGCGTGCACTCGGTGCAAGACTAAGGGGAACTGTGTGAGAGAGATGCTGATGTGTGTGCTAGATGTTGAGGCAGCAACTTATATTCTGAGGTATTCATACGGAGTTAGTGGGCGTGTTGATGATGTTCTGAGCCAAACACCTCCGAGCTTTCCCTTGCACTGACATATGTGATCAAAGTGGCATAAGTTATGATAAGTTAAGAAAAAAAAGATCAAATTATACCAACAGTGTGCCAAGCAACCACAATATTTCAGACCTCTTAAAGAGGACCTGGCCCTTAAGATGATGTATTTTAAGGAGTTTAAGACAATTTACAATTTGGTTTGAATTACACTACTTAAGGCATCTTAAGAATTTTAGAGTCCAGAGACAGGGGAGGAGAAAATTAACAAGACAGAGACTGAGAGGTGCAAAAAGTGTGTCGTGGAGCCATGGGAACGTTGTCATGGCAACAGGCTGAGGAATCTGCTTTGCGACTGAAAATAGTATGAGAGAAGAAGGGGACAGGGAGTTGGATAAAGAGAGGAGAGGAGGGGTGGGCGACCTTGTGAAATCTAAAAGTAGTAACTTTGAATTCTTATTAGGTCTCCAGAGGATTTATTCCATCTGGGCACCTGCACTTATACAACACAGGAGAGTTTGGGGTGCAGCTCTGAAACAACAAAAAAAGATGTTGTCTAACAGTTCGGGAGTCAAACCAAGAGGAAATCAGTACCACTCTCATGTCTGTCCATGAAGCTACAGCGAGCAGCTGGTTAGCCTGGTTTAGTATAAAGACTGGAAACAGTCTGGCTCTGTCCACAAAGCAACAATAACCACCAAGTAGCACACTGTAAGTCGTCTGTTTAATCTGCACAAAAACCAAAGTGTGACAATGACATGATGTGCAGTAGTTTTATGGGCACCTATACAACAGACAACTTGTTGGTTGGGAGCAGAAAAAAGTGAAACTATTTGGGGTTTGTTAATAGATTCATTTTGAAAGAAATTTTGTAAAAACCACATATCGACATCAGTTTTGATTCAAATATCCTTTTAAATATCTGAAGTATTACAGTGCCTGCATTTCCCCGAGTACCTGCATCCTATAGCTGGTACCTCAAACATTTGTTCATGCCATCTGTTTTTCATTAATCCAAAAAACGACCAGGTTGCTGTGGTGCGACTGAAAATCTGCCCCAATTACGAGCAGTCATTGTGGGTGAAATATACTATAATAAGTGTCCATCTATCAAATGCTGTAAACTTTCACTGGTGCACTTTTACACCCACTAGGTTACACCACGACATGACTAATGTGCTTGTCTGGGAAAGCATCCAAAGTTTGCCTCTTGGTCATGGCTGTTTGTTACCGGTCTCCCCTCCTCTGGAGCAACATTTAACATCTTCCTACTCGTCCACAGCCTCCTCTCCTCATCACTGTGGTTTACTGGCGTGAGTATAATTACAGTTAGATATGACTTTATCCTTCTGATCCAAAGGTGACTGCAGCCTGTTTGTGAGGAGGTGCTGGGATGCTGCTCCAAACATGACCCCCAGCTTGGATGTTGCCCCAACATCTCACCAGGGGGCACACGACAAGGCTGTGTCTGGTTTTAAGCTGTGGTCTGAAATGCAGCATTTAATGCATTTTTGGCATATAATTAAACAAATGCTAAATCATTTCTGACACTTCACACATATTGCTTTATGAGTGTCAATTAGAGAGTGACAGACAAAGAGGAGATTGTATTAATTACTATCCTTAACTGCCTTAAATGCCATTCCTGCAGGCAGGCGAGCCAGCACCACCACCTAATGTCATTAGTGCTCCGTCTGCTTGGCCCTAATGACTGAAGCGCACACAAACAAACCTGGACACGTACAAATGCCTCTGCTACTGTGCTACTCTAAGCTTAATCTGCCCGAGTGTGTTCTGTATAGGGTGAGCGACCTGCCCTACGCTCTGTCACACCACCCTCCTGCTCCACAGGAGAGATCTGTATAATCACAGCTAATTAGCTTTCCACAGTAACTAATGGAAATGACAAGCCCATGATTCGTTATGATGATATAATTAGATAATATACTGCATGAGGGACCAAATTATCTTCACACTAATTCTACACCTAGCTGGTGCTGTTAGCATAAATACTAATGTGGCGAGCTTGATGCAAGCATTTATATCTCAGGTGTACAGCTTATCCAACTTCTTTGTACTCTGTGTTGTGACAGTAAAGGAAACTAGCACTGAAGATCAATCAGTGGAACGAAGGTCACAGATGACGGAAGCTTCTAGAAGTAGGCGTTAAGGAATTAGGAACACCTACTACTACTGTAATGGGTGGCTGTAATCCAACACGCTACCAAAAAAAACATTCCAAGTAACAATTTGTTGCAAAATTATTTGTATGCAATCATGAAAAAAATCTTGTTGGAAAAAAATAACGCTTTAATAGACTATATTTCAGACATACTAATAATATTGCAGGCTTCCTGTCCCTTAACCAAAAACACTGGATTAATGGGTAAGAATTAGAGGAATATGGTTTGGTTTTATCCTCTTAGAGGTCACATTGGTGGGTTTTCCCAAAACCACAGGGAAAAATGTTATAGAGGACTCAACTCGTTTTTCCATGACTGACAATTGCTGCATGATTACTCTGGTTTGGTTCTGCAGGCCCAAGAAGCTCTCTACTTGGTCAGCCAACAAAAGCATCAGCCAATGGAAAGCAGGATGAAAAAGAAAACCAATGATTTGTGTGAGCTCTTAGCTGTGTTAAAATCTAATTTAACAAAATTAGCCTCGTTTTGTTTGATGTCACTAAAATGGCAGAAGATTTTTGTTTGATGTAGCTCAGACTGAGGGTGATAATTGAAATTCCAAACACGGCGATTCCAGTTACATCTCCGTTTTAACTTCCAGCCCCACACACACACACACACACACACACACACCAACCCTCAGCTCCTTCTGGTCTCCTTTCTCCTCCTCCCTTCCTCCATCCTAAACTCTCTCTATCTCTCATACTCCCTCCCTACTTCCACTTCTCTCTTAGATGTCTGTACTTGTTGATACCCTTGAGTGAGGAGCCATTGTTCAAAATGATCAGAATTACAATGACACTTCCTCGCTTCCTCTGTAATCCTCCCTATAAACAAATTATGGACAACTGAGCGAGAGAAGAGAGGAGGCAAGAGATTTTACACTAGCGGTTTGCTTCCTCTCTCCATCTCTTTTTTTCTGAGAAGCAGCAG